TTGTAACTGTGCCTGTTCCACTCGCTCTTGAACTTTGCTCTTTGCATATTGCTTGCCATTTTCCCCTTTCCTCCTAGGAAAAGGAGTTGGGGTAAGCCCCAACATAGCTAAATCTTATGGGGGTAAACAATGAGTCAAAACCAAAGACACTACTGTGAGGAAGCTGGGACAAGCTTGTATGAGTCTGTAAGAGCAGGCATTCTGCTGCCTACAACTATCTAAAGAGATTTGGTTGCTTTTTTAAAAGACAGCTGAATTGTTACAACATGCTGTGCCCACTTTCTTCCCATCACTGTTGATATAACTTAGCTTGGAATGCAAGTCTCTAATAAAACAGTTGGAGTGTTTTATTTTGCATTTTATTATTTTATTTTGTTTTGTTTTGTTTTATATTTTATTTTATTTTATATTTTATTTTATTATTTTCTTTAATGCACATCAAAGTCATTCATAATTCTCAGGATTTTTTACACTGAACAGTTTGCTTAAGCAAAGACTCTAGCGAGAGTGTGAATTATTTATTTGTACAGTCTACTTTTAAGTTGGGGCCAACATTAATTTGGCTGGGTCACTGGCATTGTGGATTTAATTGCCATGTAAATAGCTACGGAGCCTATGTCTTTAATTAGTGTGCTAAATTCTACACAATTTATGAATAAAATATACTCATTTTGACATTTTAAAGCAGTTATTTTATTAATGAAGAATTTATCAGCATTATGCCAATTCCCTTGCCTTTTGTTAATTATATGCTCCTCTTTAATTTTCTGATATGTTAATTTTGTTTGGTATAAATATTTGTCCTCATTAAGATGAATGCATTGTCAATGTTGATTCATTCTTCCCCCCAACAGATTACTTAAATGTGAGTTCATTGTTTGATCCTTTGGTTCTTACTGATTTATGAGAATCATCTAGCTCCCTCCCCCATTAAGTCTTCTTCAGCAAGGGCTAAAATTTCACCCAAGGAATGGCCTAGTTTGCTCTGCATGGCCTACATGCAATTTTGAAAAGGGTTTGGGACAGGAGGCTTTAGCTAGCTGTGTTTCTTACAAAAGGGAATAAAGAGCCAAGTTTTGTTAATATAGCACTGTCCTTTCTGTGAACTTCTGCTGCTCAATTGGTAACTCACACATGATGCATGCTGAGAGACTTAAAATATGCAGATATGGAACGAGGGGGATGATCAGAAGGAGGCTGCTGTACAAGAGTGCTTGTAGGGCAATGGGAAAAGCACGATCTTGTATAGGAATGGCTATTTCCCTTTGAAAATAAGGTCTTTTTTAACCTCAAATTCCTAGCTAGGGAAATTCTGACTCCCTTTTCCTCTCAAAGAATGGGACAGCCAACAAACAAATAAAATTGACATACAACCATGAGTCTAACTCAAAGTTTTGACAAACAGCTTGCTTATTTTGCTTGCACATGAGCTAATAACATGACAAGCCCACCAGGGAGGTCTAGGGGACGTACTGATCTGAGAAGGATGGAGCCAGGTGTGAAGTGTTCAGGGAAGACAGAAGCAAGTCTGCCTCTATGAAAATTGGAAGGATGGGAATTGCAGCTGCAAATAGTTGCATTGAGAACCAGATCATTTTATAACCCTTGGATCCTCTGGTTTTATTAGGCACCTACACAGTGGTTTGAAGTGAGAGCTGATAAGGGAGGCCAGGACTTTTGGAGCTAAGACAGAATGCTGAAGCTAAAGCTTGCTGATGAGAAGGAGCCAAAATATTGACCCCTAGCATGACCTGGGAATCCAAAGAATTCGAGAAAACAAAGAAGGAAAGTACTCCTTAAAAGCAACTTTACAGGAAATAATAACTATATAGCAATTGAATCAATTAAATTAAGATTAATAAGTAAACATAATTCCATGAAGATGAAGAAGAATCATGTATTTTACATTGTTTTTATAAACAACAGAAAAGGCTATTCACACAAAAACTGTTTAAGATGTCAGGAAACACTGAATGTCAGCTGAGCAGTTAGAAATAAATATTGCTCAAGTTTCAAATAGTAAGTCGCAAAAGTGTGAAGCTCTCGTTGCAGCTGAGGGTAGGAAAGCTGGCATGAGCATGAGTTCAACTGATTGAGAGAAGAGCACCTTAGAGCAGAATATTATTTGTTTCTATGAGCCAGTCACATAAAAAACATCTACGTTGCTCTGAACAAACTCTATCAAATATTGAGACAAATTAAACTGAGGTTACCTGATCTTGTACCTTTTGGCCTCTTATAGCTGCTAGAGAAGAGTTTGGTATTTCTGGCATTTCTTGTCAGAACATATAAGTTTTCTGTTTCTTTAATTATGCCTTACCTGTTACATCCTCTAACCTATGTTAGGGCACAAAAAGATCACAGAAGGCAAATCAAAGCAAGAAGCCATAGCTGAGAGTCAAAACACTACATGAACCACACTGCTGAGGATGCATACACATCAGGGGATGCAAAATTTGACATTGTGCCAAGGACACGAATGAGACAAGTCACTGGATAGTACACCCACTGAGAGTAACCAGGCAAACCATGCCAGGGTCAGAAAATCCGCTGAGATGAATACATTTGGTGAGTGAGACAACACTCAGGGAATGCCATGTGTACTTGTCAAGCTCTCACTCTTCTCTCTGCAGGTACATAAAGCTGTAGTGGCAGATTAGACAGGTCTAGGTGGATCTTGCTCTGGGATGCCACTCTAAATCTTAGTTATGGTATTTTCTTTTGCTTTGTCTTCCCTTTCTGCCCTAACCAAGGCTAAGTCAGCTAAATAGAGAAAGGGTAACTTGTGAAGTACAACTTTCCGACTAGAAGGACTAAGGAAATCTAACAGCATTACTATGACCACTCTGTCACTCTGTGTCTATACTTTCTTTGTATTAGAAACTGCATTGCACAGCACCCAGTATACCAGAGTCCTGCCCTGAGCACCTGTGCACTGCTGGGAGACCTGTCTGTGGCTCTTTAGGGAGCAGAGAATGGATAAACAACTGGGCTGCCCCTGGCTTGGGGAAGCCAGAGGTGGTGTGGGGAGCACAGCCAGCAGTAGCCACCAAGCCAACATAACTATACCAGCTGGCCCAGTGTCATTCACAGCTGACATGCTACAGCACTTGTAGAGACTTTGCCACTTGAGTGGGTTAAGATAACATCCAGAAAATTATAGCATCTCCCTGGGAAAGGGTGAGGGTCATCCTGATGAAATGGGCCTGGAGAAATGAAAATATACTCAAGTGGAAAAGATACATCACCACTCGGAATGAGCTGCAAGCATGAAAATGCACCTGCCTGTGAGCAATGAGGAGCTCCAATATGTTTCAGACAGGAATGGTCGTGGGCTTGGGCTGAAATGTATCTCCTCATATGTCCCTGGTCTTCCCACACAGTCTCTGCCTACCCACAGGCAGCAGCTCAACTTAACAGGTGGGATATATTTTCTTTTCACAGGCAAGGAGGAGCTTTTAATCAACAGCAACCTCACACTGAAAGTCTGGAGTCTGTATGCATATGGATATGTGTGGGTACGTATTGGCACTGAGCTTCACTGACACTGTGGCCATTTTGGTACCAATGAATTGCATATAAATATTGCACCTTGTGTTGCCTCTTTAAATCAGAACTTTATCATCCCAATAGATTCTGTACTACTGTGTAGTCTATATGGATGTGTTGCTTTTTGGTTTTGTTAATTTGTTTTTCCAGTTGTACATCTCAGAGATGTGCTATAAGTAAAACTAAATGGTCAGGTTCGTGTGTCTGCTATAGGATTATACGTCAGAGGACAGATGGAGGATCTGGGCCTGGACGTAGATGCCAATTTTGCTTGCCATAAATCACCTAGGAATAAGATGAACCTCTTCTGATTCCTGAGGTCTTTAGCACGTGGATTACTTCCCATTGCACAAAAATTTCAGGTCATTGGGCTTAACTCAGTTGCAGTTAAAACATGGATTTGAACACAGATTTAAAAGTAATCCAAGAGTAATCCACTGGGCTACTTGTTGAGCCATCTCCACCTGTTTCTACTATTTGAATTTTACCATTTTTGGGCTGTGAGTACATACACATTTTCCTTCCTACTCACATTGTTTATTTTTGTACTTTGTTGCTATTTTAGCCTTTTTTTTTTTTTTTTTTTTTTTTTTTGTGCAAATGCTTGCAGGCTTCCTCTGAAATTATTTGATCATAAACATTTGCGGAGTGCTTTAACGTCATCTGGTACTTACTTTTGTAACATGCATTTTAGACAACACTGTGATTTGTTTGAACATTAAGTTCGTTCATGGATGGAAGCCAGCATACTGCTTTCACATCATAGATCTGCTCTCAATTGTGTAACATTTGGATCAGAAACATTTAGGATTAAATATGTTTTCTAAATGTTTTGAGAAAGCTTTTCTCAACAGAAGCTCTGCTGTAGCAGTCACACTTTTCAGGTAACTGATCTCAATACTCACTGCCTCTGAACAGCAGGACTTTGAAGACTTCAGCCAGCAGGTGACTTGATTAGTTAATCTTGTTTCCTTCTTTATTTCTTTTCACCTCCTATATTTTATTACATTTGAAAATTAAAACAAACTCTGCCAACAGCAAGTTTGTTTCTATGTTTCCCTTTGTTTGCACTGAGATTTATATATTTGAATACAATTGCCATTCCTTCTTACGCTGGAATCAATTCTGCTTTAGTGTCACTACAGTCTAAGTAAGGGATATCCTACTGTGATTCCAACACAATAAAGGCTGATTGAAGTGTCAATGATTTCAGCTGTGTTTTGTATTATGGAGTTAAACATGCTTTTTTTCCATTTAAGCAAAACAATCCCAAGGAATAGAGATGACAGGATAAAGGGCAATAGTCAAAGATGTGAGGTCTTTAGTGAAGCTTACTAAAATAGGCAAAAGAAACTGATTATATGGCTGTACTTATTTTTCATTTACTTATTTTTTTAAATTTAAAATTGAAATGAATGATGTTCTGATACAAAGCACATTCTTTGCAATACCTTGTTCTGTTCCCTGGGTGTTCCTGCAATTGGTCATGAGACTGATTTTATGAGAACAGAGAGAAGCCACACCCAGGTGTTCAGAGAAGGAAGCTCTGGAAAATTAGAGAAAAACAAAAAATAAAAAATTGTAGGGAGTCCAATAGCTTTCACTTTTAATATAATTAAACAGCACACTTATTCACCTTATCTGAAGAATTAAAAATGGAGCTTTTTTGCCTGTTTTACCTGAGAAAATATGATTCTTCTGCACACACATGCACACACAAAACCCATCAGAATGCAATTTGAAATATGCAGCAGTAACTCTGAAGAACGTGTTATAAAAATAAATCAAATATCATGCGAAATGCTTATTAAAAACTAGAAGTTTTCTTTGCAGAGAGTCAATATTTATGCAAGCAAGCATGAAGTGGTAAGTCCACAGTTATTTGGAGATCAACATCATTCATCAGTTGAACTTATCAGGTACTGTGCAATATAAGTTTATTTAACACAGGAGCTGTGCTTTTTGGCTTTATGGAAGGAATTATGGAAACCTAGAAAACCACAGTTACATTTTGGATTTCCACATCACTTAGTCTCCCTACTTTATGCTGGGAGATTTACAGACTGTTCTTTAATCTTTTGGGAAGGCCAAGGTAACAATAGAAGTAGAGAACAGATGATGATTTTATTTCATAATTAATAATTCCAAGATGAGATATTTTGGGTTTCCTCCTCAAGTAGGAATTGTACCATAAATTATTAGACCTCAGTTTGTATTTTTAATTATCCAATAAGGAGGCAGAAACAGCAGGATGTGATTTAGATGCCTGTTCTATCTCAAAAATATTAGCAAGTGATGACTAATCAAAACCAACAATGCACGGACTGATAATTCTTTGCATAAATTATTTTCAATGACATATACTGGAGGAGTGTGAGACATAAATTACTTGAAATCAGGTAACAACTTCCTGTCTGGGCAACTAGTGGAGATTATTAATTTGACCAGCTCTAGGAAAACTGACCAACTATTAATATTGATTGTTGTGCATAGGCCTACGCATTCTGAGCATTTTAAAGACATAAGCAGACTGAGCTTTCTGCAGGTACTCTCCAAGTCCTAAATGCATAGTGCTGAAGAGTAAGCCAGAGACTTTATGGGTTTGTTTCTCTTTCCCAAAAGCATGAACGACTGTTAGTGGTAGTGTACAAGACTAAATGGGCAATAATTCCCTCTGATACTGCTATCAAGAGACTGAAGGAAAAGGTATACAGAAAACACCATTGGTAATGATCAGCCACAATCCATCATACAGGTCTCACAAACATCAGATCTAGTGGTGTTCCTGAGTGCCCGTTACTGATAGCTGACTGGTGGAGTACTCCTGTAATACCAGTCTTACGCGTTCAACACAAAAAATAAACTTCATGGCTCTTACAGTTGATGTTCCAGGTTCTTACGCCAGAAATATGATAAAATGAATATGGCTAATGAAATAATAAAATGAATGATGGCTAATCTCTCCAAACAGTCAAGAAGATTTCCCTATTCTACCTGCTAATCAGCTTTACCAGATCCTTATTACTTTTCAGAGAATCAAAGAATGGCCTTGGTTAAAAAGAACCTCAAAGATCATCTAGGTTCAACCCCCCTGCTCTGGGCAGGGTTGCCAACCAGTAGAGCAGGCTGCCCAGAGCCTCATCCAGCCTGTTCTTGAATGCCTCCAGGGATGGGGCATCCAAAACCTCCCTAGGCAACCCATTCCAGTGCTCACCACCATCTGAGTGAAAAACTTTCTCCTAATATCTGCACATTTTCCTTGCCCTCCACCGTTTTTCACTGCTTTCCTTATGACAGTGCACATAACAATTGTGACCAAAATCTGAAGTCCCAATTCCTATTTAATATTAAGACTTTAAAAAAAAAAAAAAAAAATGAGGTGCATGAAAGCAAGAAGATTCTTTTTGATCCTTCCAGGTATACTTACAAACAATGATTCTATTATTTGAGTAATTTAATCAACTTAAAAAGTGGTACTAGCACCAGGAGAATGTTAAGACAATACCTATGAAGTCTTTGAAGACAAATATAGCTGCAGAATTTCCTGTTCACAGTTGTCTCTAATCTGTTTCATTTTACTGCCCTAGCCACAAGAGGATTTTGCCATTTTGGAGTGATTCTTCACAATGTCCAGACAGATACTCTTTTAAAATCCCTACTGCTGGATCCCCAGTTTTGGAAAGTACTAAGCTATAAGCCCTCTGAAAATCAGTCTCCTCAAAGCTATTGTTACTCAGGCTGCCAAAACCTATGACCTCCAAAATCACTTATCTGATATCTGCACTAATTGTTGTCTTCAGATTGTGCTCATTAAAAGTCATTGTGTTGCAAAGACTGAACAAATAAAGTCAGTTTATACTAAGTTATAGCTTAATTTCTCATTGTTGCACTGAAATTTAGAGGGTGGAGAAGCTATCTATGCATTTAACAATCTGTGGCCGTGAAAAGTTATCACTCCTCTCTGGAAATATATCTCAATTCCAGAATTACTTAGCTTATTTTGTTTAAAGGGGAAGGAGAATTTGGTAAACAGAGGTCAAAATGTCACAGGTCAGATTTCACAGGTTTCTGGGTCTCAGTTTTGTAACAGGCTTCATCTGTGTGCTTTATTTAAAGAATTCTGTAGTTTCGCTAAACTCAGTGGGACTGTTGATATGCATAAAATTAAGCATGTCTCTGAAATGAGCTGGGACTGGGTTTCTCTACCTTACCATATTTTGATCAAAATAGATTCCCAGAGAGATTTGCAAATGTGCGCAAGTAGGGTTCAGTGATAATTTTTATCATCTGTCTCCTCTCATTGAATTGTGTGGGGGAAAAAATGCAAGCAAAGTACTTAAGATGAACATTTGTGTGACATTCTAAGTTGCCATTACCATGACTGATGTTTCCCTTGGAGCACAAATGGAGAAATGCAAGACCTCTAGCTCAGGCAAGCAGCCCTTACCAGTCTGGATAGAGGGTGTTTCATTCTGTCATCTTTCACAGGGCTGAACGAAGCATAGAGCACATCTCTGATCATGGACAAAGGTATTGCTTTCCAATCTGCTACATCTACTGTTGTATCTTGCATCTAATATTATAGATGCTTTTCTAACTCTTATGTCTAAGTCCATAACTAAATACCAACTGATTGGCCAAAATGTCCTGGAAGTGTGAAAAAATGGAAGACATTATTACACATTATCAGAGCTGTTACTTCTCCTTTCCAGAAAGATTTAGCTCAAAAGCAACAACAGAGGAAGATAAACCTAGCTGAAATTTAATAAATTAAAAATAAATAAATAAATAAATAAACAATCTACATTACTTGGATCCCAGACCTGAGCACTTAGATGAAAAAGACAGCTAGATATCTTCAAACATCAATGGCTGTGACCTTTTTTTGTGGCCTCTGAGGGAAACTGATATGTAGAAAAGCTTTAAAAAGCAATTACTGGAGGTCTATGAAGAACCATATACAATATGTGTAACTTTTTCCCTGTAAATGAGTAGGGCAGAGCCTCTTTAAGAACTGTACCTTTCAATTTCAGCATTACTGCTAACAAAGAAGATGATGGAGAACAAATTCTGAGCAAGACCTGCAGACTCTCCTTTTTCAATACTGAAATTTTATACAAAAGCTTTCTCTACACAATACATCCAAAAGCAACCCTGAAAATCCTCCTCTACAGGAGTATATGGATAAGAACCAAACATGCCAGTTAAAATCCACAATCACAATGGGAAAGCAGTACAAATACCTACGCTTTTATGCAATAATTGCAAGACATTATTTCTAGTAATAGAGTTATATATGTGAAGCAAATACTGATTGATGGTGACAGCAGATCACTCTCATAACAAGGTACAGAATGCAAATGCTTTGTGAAAAACTGTAATTGATTCAATACCCAGTTGGTTATATGCATATTGATATTTAGGTTGCCTGAGTAACCTTAACACTAAGTACAATACAGAAAGTAATTTATTATCACAACTCCCCCAAATATATTATCTCATTCACACATATATTTTGAGACTCAAACCTAAACTGTGCTGTCCAAAATGTCTATCAAGACTTGAAACAAGCAACAGACACTCCTGGAGGCTCTAGTAGACTCTGAGAGCTTAGCAGGGTGGGAAGACGTGTAGCATATGTTTCCCTTCGCAGATCTCCCCTTTGTTTCAATTCCCTTGGGAGCCTGTGGCACTAGGGAGCTCCAGCATCACCTGAGCAGAGGCATCAGTTCTGACAGATGCAAGGACATATTGCAGGGGGAAATAAATTTGTATGCAGTTGTATTTACTGACTATAGTGCCCGGGTTGGAGATGGTGACTGCTCTTTCACTGGACTTCTGTTCATGAAAAAGCTGTGGACTGACTGAGAGTGACTTGGACAGCTGATGCAGTTGCACCCCTCTGGAGATCTGCGAGAAAGCTGAGCCCAAGTCCTTGAAGCTGTGAGCTTCTGGAAATCAGGCTGAGACCTGAACCTGCTGCTTGCTTGGCAGGCAGTAGTTTGGCTAGGTTCTGCCCTCATCACATCAAACTCCCTTTAGAGTCAAACCAAAATCCTGTAGTGATTTTGCAAGACAAGCTCAGCTTAGGAGCTGTGACCTTGGCAGCACAAGATCACCCCTCATTTTTGAAGCCCTAGTCCTGAAGAGAAAATGCAATTCCCAAGGCCCTTGCTGTGAAAAGTAGAGAGATGCTCACTCCGGGTTTAGGCTACAAATTGATTAGGAGTCCCTTAAAATCAAGTGCTTGACCTGAAACAGCCAAACCCTCTTTACACTCTGCTCTCAAAAGCATTCTCCCACCTAATGCCTTCCACTGCAGTATTGCTGTTCACAGCAATTGGTATTCTGGGGCAGAGGCTCTTTCCTTTCGTAATGCAAAGCCTTACTTACACTTCTTTTAGTAGGCTGCATGCTAATGAGGACAGTTTGCAACCTTCGCTGTTAGCGAGGAGTCCCGAGGTAGTGCTCCTTGATTCCTGGTTGGTGGGATGCACTGCACATGGCACCCTCTAATGGGGGAAAAAAAGCCAAATGATACCTTGT